TTGCCAGAATCAGCTTTTATTCGCGGCATTTTTTCAGCAAAGATTTCAGTGCAAGAGAAATGTGCGTCTATACAACCGCATGTTGTGATAACCGAATACGAGATGACATATACACTAATTGAATTGCACAAGGTGTCGATTTTCTGTCAAACACATTTTCCGCCAAACATATAGACTTCAATTGCGTTTTACTAAATAACTTGTTTAATTTTAAAGATACTGATTTACATTTTTTTCCAGACGACAGGCATGCTCAAAAGCAACAAGAACATGTAAAGAAAAAAAAATTCAAAATTTTTACGTTCCAGGGTATCCTGTAACCTTAAGAAAATTCAGTTAAAAGTCAAGCTATTTTTACATATTTTCAAAATTTGTCAAATTTCGCGAGCTTGTATTTTGAATTTAGACCGCTGAAATTACATTAAGAAACATAGGATGGAAAATTTGAGGCATATAAAATAAATTTCAACTTACATTTCATTCTCATATCACGTTTTTCTTCGTTTATTACGGTTTTAAGCAAGCCATAAATCGTTGAAAGGAAAGCAAAAAATCGTCAGCTAAAACAGCTTCTTGCTGCCTTCTGCTCTGTCACAGAATAGATACTAGACCAGAAGTTGTGCCAGAAGGGACACTCAGAAGATATTTCATCCGAAATTTTACGAGTGCTGACGTGAAAATACGCCATCATATGACGCCATCCTGGAGTGCACACGGAAGTTTTTCATAGGACAAACATAGGTACAAAGTGCCGTGTGCACTCCAGGATGGCGTCATAGCACGTAAAAAATTTCGGACGTTTTTCCCATGCCAAAACACATAGGAGTGTCCCTTCTGGTCTAGTATCCATTCTGTGGCTTTGTTTTGAATGTATTAAATGTAATATAATGGAGCTTTGTTTCTGCCCGCGATTTTTTGGTCAGCGACGACAAATTTCCCACCTGTTCAGCCTCGGATGAATTGGGCAAGGACATCCTGTGTAATTATATAGACATTAAATAACTCATCATTATCATAATTACATTTTTAGGTTCTCGTCATTCTTTGATGTTTTGGGACCTCAAAACGGGACAGACTCTCCATAGACTTCGAGGGCATACACACGATATCAGAGCATTGGCATTTGTACCAGGAGGTGAATTTCTGTTGTCAGGTTCGCGAGATAAAACGATGAAATTGTGGAATCTGCGTACTGGACGTTTCGTTGAAGAATTTCATTTCGAACGTTATGTACTGGCAATAGCATGCGCCCCGAATGGGATTGTTTGTGTCGGTCTGCAAGGCGGCCAGGTCTGCTTTCTGCGTATGAGTAATCTAACTCCTCATTTAGGACTACTTGAACAATAAAACCATATATAGCCTACAAACAGTGCAAACACAATTTACACAACCTGATATCATCTTGTTGAAACAAGCTTGTAACAAGCTGGGATATTCGAAGTAGAACACAATCTGATATCGGGTTGTTTGAACAAACTCGTAACAATTTTGCTGTTACAAGGTGTGTCTTTTGTGTGTATGCGAGCAAGCCCAGGTAATTGTGTTAGTATGGGAATGCTTCATTAAACCATTGAACTCGGCAGCCGCTCTGGTTTGAACGTTGCACAGGAATCTACAGCCCCTTAATAATAATTTATTCGTTTAATATGTGTCATGATCATTTATTCTATGGAATGCCCGCGCAGAATTTTCCCAAATTTATAAATATCAAAATTCATGTCAACCTCGTTCCCAGGCTTTTCCCTCTTGTCTCTTGTGGAGGAAAAACCCTGGCTGGGGAGTGCATGGGGCTGGTCACATGTCCCATAAAAAATTGATTGCGGGAAAGGGGATGAGGGAAAAGTATCATATACATGCTTCCACTTCCGCACTTTACACTTTGATTGTAAGGAGTGATCGGATATACTTCAAAGTACTTGTTTCTGTTTGCTTTTAAATTATAAAAGCATGCCAAACTGCAGATTTTTATGGCAACAGACAAGTCAGGAAATGAAGCAATAAAAACATGATCGTGAGCACAGTTTCACGTCACATAATTCTTCTCTGCCTCTGGTTCACATATTTATGATATTCTTATAATATGCCATTGAATTGTTGTTTTTCGGTAAAGGTATAAGCTTTGAATTGATATACTTGCTAATACAATACTGTGTAGGTCGTAGCGCCTTTCAGTGCCTTTTTTAAGGAATTTTCACTGGGGGGGGGGGGCAAAACAGGAAAAAAAGGCAGAACGAAAAATATGAGCCGTCGAGGTTTGGCGAACCACAGTGGGCGAACGTGCGAGTCTGAAGAGAGATTTTGTAAAACTTTAATTTATTAACTTCAGCTATACTTTACTTTAAACAATAACTTCAAGCCTTTGTAGCTATAATCGTACAGCTATAACCAGTGGCGTAGCCAAACCTTAATTTTGTGGGGGGGGGGCGAACCTCACGCCGAAGGCGTGAGACCGTCTAGGAGGGTCCGGGGTCCGGAAAATTTTGAAATCTAGGCTCCCTGAAATGCGATTTCATGCATTTTGGGGGTGAAATCTAGCAGAATTCCAAAGATTATAAAGTACATCGAAGACATGAATTTTTCCAGACATTTCTACTCGGAATTAAATAAATTGGAAAAGTCACCTTGATCCCAATGTGATTTTGATCAGAAATGTTGCATTTAAATCGTTTTAGGTTCTATGAGACACCATTTCCGCATTCTCAAAATTGCGTTGCTTTTTCATACGATACAGAATAAGTCTGAGAAGAAATATTCATGCTATGATGCATGATTCATACATGTATTTAACAGATAAAAATTTAAACTAAATCTATTTTTCTTGGAACCATATCTACAACTGCTTTAATCAAGTTCCTCCGGTATATCTGCCTCGTACCCAGGCGTCTCTTTGTAAAAAAACAGCGATGCGCATATGACGAGTTTACATGAAGTATTGTAGTGGGGAGAGACGGGCGAAGGGGCTGATGGGAAGAGTGCACTTGAACTGCGACCCTTCCCAACAGCCCCTTCGCGCGTCGCATGCCTGAATACTTCATGTATAATTATTTAAAGCGCCTGGGTACGAGGCAGATTAAACGCTAGGTTGGAAGGAGTGTATAAGTTACAAAAAGTGTTGGGGAATCATTCTATACAGTACAGAATTATAAGACAACTACTATATATGTATGTAAAACTTTATTTAAGCCCCGTTTACACTACGCTCGATTTTTGGTATACCGTACCACTTTTTTTGTTCTCATTTTTTTTGTTCTACCCAAAATGGGTAGTCCAAGAACCAAAAAAGTGGTACGGGTACCAATTTTATCCGTGCCGTACCAAAAATTGAGCGTAGTGTAAACGAGGCTTTAATGACGCATGGTCGTATATTGAGATCCATAGTTGTTTCTATCTAACAATTAAATTGTTTTACAAAGTTTTTGAAAGGGTAAATTGATTGCGCTTCCTTAGCTTCGCGCGGAAGATTATTCCAAAGTTTAGCACCACTGACACTGTAAAAACAGCTTTTTAAGAAATTCGCGTCTCGGTTTAGGAAGGCCCAGATCAGTGTGAGAATTTCTGAGGTCACAATTACTTTGTAGAGAATTCCTCCTCATCAATAACTCTTTCAAATTTGGTGCACTACAATCGTTCAGAATTTTATATAATAATGTTGCCTTGCTCATACCTCGTCTGGAATCTAAATTTTCCCATTCAAGAGCCCGAAGAACGTCAGCAGACCTGATCTCATAGCTACCAAAAGCTATTATTCTAGCTGCCCGATTTTGAAACTTTTGTAACTTATTTTTCAGTGTTTTGTTACAAGTATCCCAAAGTGGAGAGCAGTAATCGAAATAAGGTTAGTAGTAGTAGTAGTAGTAGTAGTAAAACTTTATTTAAAAGTCACACGCTAGCCTCGTCAACTTTAAGCTGCATGGTTTGGGGCGTGTGAATTGCATATTAAAAACGTACACAATTAAATACATATATACAGGACAATTTACCACATCTACGATACGCTACGCTACGCAAACAAGTATATGTGTCAATAAAAGCATGCAAAAGATTTTAAAATAGAAAAGTTAAAAGTGCTACTCAAAATTTCACGCCTGAAAGAATTTAGGTGGTATGAGCACGAATTCTTTCTTTGAATATTGTCAATGTATCCGAATTACGCACATCCGCAGGTAGAGAATTCCAAAGTTTAGCTCCGTCGTAAGAAAAAGTTTTCTTTGGTTTTTCAGTTTTTGGTTGGGGGCAATTGCAGCGAGGTAGAAGAGCCCTGAGGTCGTGTTTAGTAATATTTCTCTTGTGTTCAAACAGTTCCGCAAGCGAACTCGGGGCCAAGTTGTTTAAAACCTTGTACATTGTTTTAGCTTTATACTTGGCTCGTCGAGTCTCCGGAGTTTCCCATAAATTTCTAGCGCTGTTATTGCTTCTGGTCCAGAAATATTACTAAAGTTCATTATTACCCTTGCAGCTCTATTTTGAAGTTTTTGCAGCCTGTTTGAAAGTCCGACACCCATGATATCCCATACCTCACTGCAATAGTCAAAATGAGGATTAATTAAGGCGTTGTAAATAGAAATCAAAGTGTCTCGGTTAACAAAATCACGAAGTTTCCTAATGGCTCCTATTCCTGAGGTAACTTTTTTAGCGACTTTATCAATGTGTTTATCCCAAGATAGTTTATCGTCAAAGTTCTACTCCAAGTACGGTAGCTTTATAAATTATAGACTTGTTTAATTTTTACATCACTAATTTTGAGATCTGGCTGTGTAACAATGTTATTTAGTTTATGAGCGGAGCCAATAAGTATAAATTCTGTTTTTGCAACATTAAGATTCAGTTTGTTGGCTAAAAGCCATTCATTTATGCATGTGAGATCACTATATTCATGTTCAACTCAATTTCCTGAATACCTTCACCAGCTACTGTAAGATTGAGTAGATTGGTATCGTCGGCAAACAGTCGAGGAGTAGCATGATTTAAACATTCTGAAAGGTCATTTATATATATGAAGAAAAAGAGAGGACGAAGAATAGACCCTTGAGGAATACCACATGTATCACGCCTCACAGTTGACATCAGGTCACCCAACTGACATTTTTTATTACGATCAGACAAGTATGAACGTATCATGGCCAAGGCACGCACTTCCCGTTATGCCATAAAGTTCTAATTTTCTCAACAGAATACCATAGTCAATTGTATCAAATGCCTTCTTAAGATCCAACAAAACAACCAAATTAAACATTTTGCGGTCCATATTGACATACCAGCTGTTCGTACTATCTAGTAATGCCGAGGCAGTAGAGTGATATTTGCGAAATCCAAATTGGTGCTCAGAAAGTAGAGAGTTATCAGTAAGATATTGGTATATATCTGGTCATACATTATTCTTCCATTATTTTACTTATTGCAGGCAAAATGGAAATTGGCCTATAATTTTCTGTTAAATTCCGCGGGCCTTTTTTGTGATTCATATATGGAAAACAATTTGAAATTAAACCATTATTAAAAATATGCGTAAGTGATGGGGCAATAGTACTAACAGCAACTTTTAAAATTTTACCAGATATTTTATCAAGACCAGCGGCTTTACCATTGGATAAGCCATTCAAAAGCTCGACTACTTTACCCACTGACACCAGCTTAAAACGATCCATTTTAGATTCAGCAGATTTAACAAATGTTTCAAACGAGGAATTGGAATTGTCGATAGAATTAGGGAAGCCTCACATATCGATTTGAAGCCTCACATATCCATGAGAAACGTCACACATAGTTATCGATATTTTGTTCTTTCTTATAGTACACGTAAGGTAATTTTCTACTATTTTCTACGGTCGGCTATTGGCGATGCAAGGAATATGTCATCTTCTGCTGACATATCTTTTTTTATTAATATATATGAATTTCAAAATTTCCAACGTTTCTCAAAACAACTTTTTTTTGCATGAAATATTGATAATTTTAGCGCGTTTTTCTTGATAGTATAGAACAGTATGTATAGAACAGGTATGGTATTACGAATGTATAGACTGGTGTTTGGATCAAGTTGTTTTCTTTTTTATATTCTGCAAAGCTAGATGATTCCGAAATGTTAAGGCTTTCGAAAAAACTATCGAATTTTTCCATGATGTTTACAGAGAAACGTCACAGCTGCAACCCCCCACCCCCACCCCCAAACGAACATATGACGTTTCTCGTGGAAAAAATCGATATGTGAGGCTTCCCTTAGCTAGGTTAGGGCCAATGTTAGTAAACTATTCATTGAAGGCATTAGATATTTCTTCAGTAAAAGTAATATTAGAATCATTAATCTTCAATTCATTCACAGTGGTGTTATTGGGAGATCGGCCTAATAAATCATTAATTGTTTTCCATGCCTCTTTAGGATTATTTTTGGTGAGCTATTTTAGTACGATAATACTCAGCCTTGGCATGTCGTAAAGCAATATTTACCCGATTCCTGGATGTTTTATACACATCCCAATCTGCACTTTGTTTTGTCACCGGCCATCGCTTTACGTTTCTTTCTATCTCTATCAAATATAAGTTTTTTAATATCCGCGGTCGCCCACGTTACACTAGACGACCTTTTCCTAATATGTTGAATTGGGGCATGTTTATCAAGAACGTCCATAAATAGTTCCTTCCAACAGGCCCACATAGAATCAGTATCTAACTTTAGTTAGTACAATCTGTTTCCAAGGTTGGGTCAACAGATCCTCATTAAAGCGCTCTTCATTAAATCGTTTCATGTTTCTAACTTGGACCTTTTTAGCTTTTTTTGCGGGTACTTAAAACAGGATTTATTTTCCTAATACCAAAGATTTGGCTATATGGTCACTAATTTCTGTGGGTATTACTCCAGACTGAACGATTTTTTCGGGCATAGATGTAATATAATGATCTAGTCGTAATATAATGATCTAGTGCATGAACTAGTCGTTATTCGTGTAGCCTCAGTGATGAGTTGAGATATAGTTGATATGTTTCAAGAATACCTTTAAGTGTTTTAGTTGGGTGATTAGGAATATTTGTCAACATATTACAATTTCGGTCTCCTAATATGTGAAGTTTTTTATTTTCGTCATCAAATCATTTTAATCATTTTTTTAAATGTTAGGAGAAACTCAGGTGCATGTGGAGCTCGGTGGTCGATAGATGGATGCAACAATAAAGTTTCGAGAATTTGGTTTAGAAATTTCCAAACAAATTGCTTTAGGGGCGGACCATTTGACTTTTGAGGGGGGGTGGAAGATTTCGAAAAAAAATTTCCTGCAACCCAAGGAGAAAGAAAAAAAAATCATGCAGCACAAAATCGAGAAAAAAAAATATCATGCAAAAGAGAGCGCTCAAAAAAAAATTTTCTACATGTAACTCTACTGATGCTCTTCACTTCAGTATTGTGTCCACAGGCTTGCAAGATTTTGCATTTTTGAGCAGGCACATTTGCTTAAAAGAACATGGGGTGAACAGTGGATAACATCACAGGGATTCTACCGCCTTTGGAGCCTCTGACATACGATAGCCAGTGGTGTTCCCTGGCAAAATTGTTGCCCCCCCCCTGAGAAAATCTGGGCTTAAGATAATTATCCATGGCTGAAAACGCAGGAAATAGCATTTCCGAGGTTCAAATTTTAAAATTTTCTCGGGGGAGCATGCCAAGGTTACAGGTCATTCATATACTGTACCCTCCCCCATTTTCGAGTACTCTACTCTATCCCTGCATGTTTTAGGTTTTGGTGCAGTTATACATTCTTTGTAAGTAAACTTGCATGCTTTAGTGTGGGGAACATTAAGACATAACCATATATAAAATAAAGCACAGTGAAAATTCCTTGGCCCCTCTTGGGATTCAGTTCTCGGCCTCCTCTGACTGAAAACCCCTGCTACGTCTCTGATGATAGCTATATGAAAGCCTAAAGTTACTGTAAGCCGTTATTATGAGAGGCAAAAAAAATATCCTGCGGCCAAATATATTGGGAAAAAAATATCTTGCGCTGCACTTTTACAGGAAAAAATATCTGTCTCGTTCGCCTGGGCGGAAAAAAAATTCTTACACAGACTGAATCTTCCCCCCCACCCCCCCCCTCAAAAATCAAATGGTCCGCCCCTTAATATCATATCAAAGCGCTATAAATTGAGGTTGTATCAAAACGCTATGAATTGATTGCAACATGTTTGCAGGAATGTATATAGGGCTTGATGCGTTTTAACGTTCCTATATATACCTGCTCCCAGGCCTAGAAAATATATTTATCTTCCTGGCAACAAAATTCAAAAATTAAAATTTCCTGTGTAAGTCAACTATAAAACGTCGTTCCTATGTAGATTTCAGAGAACGTGTGGACTATGATGGCGCACACCTCGACTTGCAAAATGCTTAATTTGGAATTTTTAAACAATAAGTAAATTATATGGCGTCCTGTATATAAGAGGTGAAAAAATATTTCCTGCAAGGTGCAAGAAAATTTCCTGCGAAGATATTTTGTTAAACATTTCCTGGCAAGCGGTGCTGCTGACGCTGCCGGACATTTTCCAGCACTGCCTGCTCCAACTTTTTTGCAAATCGTTTCAATATGTTCATCCCAGCTTAGTGTTTCATCAAGTGTAATGCCCAAACAAGAGATTGAATATACTCTGGGAATCGGTTGGCTATTTAACATTACAGGAATATCATCGAATGATAAATAACGCATATCAGGGCACCGCCACTGTGATCTAAATTCCAATAATGGTTGTATGGTTGTATGTAATGAAGTAATTAAGAGGCTGTCTCTGTAAAAACCGGGCACCCAGTTCTGGAAGGAAATATGAAAGTCTTCAAATTTTTCACAATAATTTTCCTTTCAGGTACTTGTATGAAAAAAGAAATCGGTTTGCGTTAAAAAGCTTTTTTTGTAAAATTTGGCCCATCGAAATTTTACACCTTGACGGGTCCAAAATGGCGGCCTGAAACTGCCGTAAATAGCAGATTTTCGTACGACTCTCGCGAAGCAAGTAGGTAAGTGAGAGTCTTATGTATCAAAATATTTTAACAATCAGTGGTTATAGTTTCTTACAACAAACAATCAGGAATATCTATCCAGGATTTGAGGAGAAATAATTTTCTGAAAAGATACACTTTTACTAGTTTGCAAAGTCGCACATTATAAGACAAATTAAATAGCAATTTTCGTAAGTTTGGCACCTTATACCAAGTACACATTACTACCATTGTGAACCTAGAGCTGTATTTTTTTAACGGGAAGCGTAAAATATTTGGGCACTTGACGGGTATAGCCACAAATCATCTCCAAAGTTTGATAATTTTCCTGTAATTGACGAGTGACGACGCATGCGTTGCTAACGTAATTTTTCTTGAAAACTCTCACCCAGCAACATTGCTGGAAAAATAACTTAAAAGTCAACTTTTATTTTGCTTTTGTTTATTAAACGTTTCGCAATTTAATACGCAAATATTTTTTCTGTCGCGCTTGGTCATTTATTTTTGTATTTATTTTTACCGGTGGTTCCATGTTCATTGCAGGGGCGTGCTCAAGTTATGAATATCTTGAATCGATTAGCAAACGGCTTGAAATATCGATCGGCGAATACAGGCATTTGTTTAAACTGTAAAACTTATAACAATCTTTTAATATATCCTTTCATAAACAAAGATTACAATTCTGCAAATAAGTTGCTATATTAAATAAATGTAAAAATGTATGCTACATGCTAATTAGGTCGAGCATTGTCAGAAACCGGAAAGTGTCAATTTCTCTGCTGAATATTTTGACGCGTGGTATATCAATGAATAAACAATCGCTTTTTACACGCCCCCTGTGGAAAATCAGCTTCGGTTGACAGGGTTAGCGTGGGTAAATAAAGTTTATCTATCTATTTCAAATGTGACGTATTAAGCTGTTATATTCACCTACAGGTGAATATAACAAAACCAAAATTTACAGAATGGCGGCTAGCCGTTTTGTGGAAGTTACTGATAAAGAAATAAGCGAAATTAAAATAAATTCAGTCCTAAAAAACACATAAGGCTTGTGTAAAAATGCTAAAACTCAAGCTCAGTGATTATCGGGGAATATTCACCTCTTATAAACACACGCCTATATTACATTCCACAAACTTTTGGCATTCGTCTGAAGTACAAATTGGCACTATTCGTGGCAACAAAGCTACAACCCTACAACTTTACAGCTCTACAACTCTACAGCCCGACAGCTCTAGAACTCTACAGCTCTACAACACTACAGCTCAGTCTACAGCCCTACAACTCTACAGCCCTGTGCCTTTAAAACTCTACACTTCTACAACGCTACAGCCCTACAACTCTGCAGCCTTAGAGCTATACAACTCTACAGCCCGACAACTCTACAAGTCTACAACTCTAGAGCTCTACAACTCTACAACTCTACAGCTTGCTCTAGAGCTCTACAGCTCTAAAACTCTATACCGCTCTACAACCCTACAACTCCACAGTCCTATTTTATGGATTTCTTTTGCAAGCTTTAGCTGAACAACATGGGAACCTTGCACTTTTTTCTTTTTGGATAGATGAGTTGGATACTGACACAAGCGAAGAGGACGCTATTCCTTCCCCAATGCGTGACGAGGGCAAACCCCCATCTTCTCCAGTTGACTCCGAAATATCAAACAACCCAGCCCTGGCTAAGATTAATTCATACTCTTCGATATTTTCCCAAGACAAGTGGCAGCTTGAAAGACGCCCGCGAATATATACGAGTGGAAAATATAATGAACACATGGAAGACATCTTAGAACCGAATCCGCATGAAAGTCAAATATTAATCTTCAAGTCACTAAAACTTTCAAGCGAATGCCAAAAGTTGGTGGAATGTATAATATAGGCGTGCGTTTATAATTATCGTTCAAAAAGTCATTAATAATTCCGGAGCAAAACACAAAGAAAAATCATAAGCGTGTCGTGGTTTTACAGTATATGTGATAAAAAATCACTTTAATTTAGGCCATATAAAATAAATTCCTTGATTCTCATCACCGCCCGACGATATTTTGGTTTCCGCGTTGATATATTTTTGTATTTTGTTATAAAATATAAATTTACCGCCCGACCGAGCATCTTCAGAGATTTAGTTATTTTTATATTTTATATTGGAATTTTTGCGATATAAAATTGTTTTATCGTTAATATTGCAACATGTTAAGGGATGCTTGGAATACTGAAGGAAAAAATGGGCTTATAGCCTATGGCTTATAGCCTTATTACAACGATTTGTGTGGACCCTTATGCATGTTCATTAGCGCATGTGCAATTATCCACTTATATAGCGTTCTTCTATAATATATTTAAGGCAAATATAAAAAGACCTCCCTCTCCAATTTTTTAAATTTTAAACTTTTTTTTTATATTTTGACATAAATATAAAATATAAACCTCCCGCCTCCTGGGAGTTTTTAAAATTTAGCGATGAGAATCAAGGAATTTATTTTATATGGCCTTACATAAACTTTAGCTTTGATTCTCTCGGTTTAGACAAAGTTTATTTTAAAAATTATTTCGCAAATGAACTCGTATAAGATGAGTCGTGTTTTATATGTGATAAAACACTCCTACGCGTGCTTTAAATAGTACTTATTAATAAGAAAGCAATTGTTTATTGATATACCCCGCGTCAAAATATTCAGCAGAGAAATTGACACTTTCCGGTTTCTGACAATGCTCGACCTAATTAGCATGTAGCATAAATTTTTACATTTATTTAATATAGCAACTTAATTGCCGAATTGTAATCTTTGTTTATGAAAGGATATAAAGATTGTTATAAGTTTTACAGTTTAAACAAATGCCTGTATTCGCCGATCGATATTTCAAGCCGTTTGCTAATCGATTAAAGATATTCATAACTTGAGCACGCCCCTGCAATGAACATGGAACCACCGGTGAAAATAAATAGAAAAATAAATGACCAAGCGCGACAGAAAAAAATATTTGCGTATTAATTGCGAAACGTTTAATAAACAAAAGCAAAATAAAAGTTGACTTTTAAGTTATTTTTTCCAGCAATGTTGCTGGGTGAGAGTTTTCAAGAAAAATTACGTTAGCAACGCATGCGTCGTCACTCGTCAATTACAGGAAAATTATCAAACTTTGTAGATGATTTGTGGCTATGCCCGTCAAGTGCCCAAATATTTTACGTTTCCCGTTAAAAAAACACAGCTCTAGGTTCACAATGGTAGTAATGTGTACTTGGTATAAGGTGCCAAACTTACG